GAGACGATTTGATCGTCCTCTTGGTCTAGAAAGAAGAGCGGAAGCTTATATATTTTAACCATAATCTATTTAGAGTATTTTTATATGTGTCAACATGTGTTGTTTTTCATAATTAGGTTTGTGTGTGTGCTTGACATTCATGGACACACAATACTGCTTGTGTTATACGTTAACGTATACATACCTAGAATCCATATATGAGCCCGCTATTTAGACTTTCAAGTCTACCAAGCACCCAAAGTATGTGGTTTCCTCCCACTGGTGTCAAATGGGTTCACGTTGCATGTTCGATCACACGCCAGGTTCATGTTCAAGAGGAATAGGAATAGGGCATCGTTCAAGATATGGTCCTTTCGTTTGGAATGCATCTGAATAGATGATGTGATCAAACCACATGTGGGATTTCTCACCTGCAACGACGTATTGCATTGCATGTTTTGACGAGGACCTGTAGCCTTTCACTCACGATGTTTGATTAAACGTCAACCCTCCTCCTACTTACTTCATGGCCCTTGGAATTCTCTGGCACATATTGAAGACAGAGTTGAAGACAGCTATTGAATTCTTGTTCTGACATTCTGGCATTCTGCAGGGTAAACCTGATCCATCACTTCATTGCATCTCTGCGCCTAGGTAGTCAAGATTCCTGTGGGGGCTCCGTGCTTCGTTTCCCATTGCCCGGGCTGACCTTGCAAGAGGACTGCTGGGAACAGCGAGAACATGTACTGACATGACACAGTATTTGCAACAGGCAGGGTCCTCATGCAGTTGAATGATCGGGAATTGCCCTCACCTTGCATGGATGAACCCTTCTCTCACTGCTTTGTTTCTAACTGCTCTGTTTCTAAAAACATGCAGCCAAAGGCCAAGCATGAAGGGAATGAAATGAAGATCACTTACTGCAGTCTTCACTGGTCTCCTTGCAGCCTCCGCTTCTCAGTCCAATGCGGCCGAAAAAACCGAGCGCAGGAGCCCGTGCTGGACGAGGAGGTGGGTGCCAGCTGGCGACCTTTGGGTGACTGAGCTGAGGATGGGACCATGGGGGAGAACTTGAAGAGAGGAGGCTTAAGCAAGCCGGAAGCTTCAAATTCGCCACCAGCCGATACCCGCCCTCTTGGCCTTCGCCCGGAGCATGGCTGTGAAAGTTGAGTCACCGAGTCACCCAATCCACGCTGCCATAGCGAGTCAATTCATGCGTCTCTATTGCCCGGGTGGCCGTCTTGTGGTAGATGGGTCCACTTCCCGGTTTGTTCGCCACGTCCGGAGTGCCGATCGGTCGACTGACGGCCATTCCTGCCTCAAAACGTCTCCAGAAACACCTCGTGATGTGGAACAAGATGAGGACCATCAGGTCCCATCAGAGCCGAGGTCGATGCTTGCTGCTGGCCTCGCTGTTGACAGATCTCACCTGAGAGGACTGGGGTGGTGCAGCGCCCCGAACCTGAATCGCCATGTCGTTTCAAGCCCCTATGCCCCTCCACAAGGTCAGCAACCCCACAAGATCCGTCAGCAGCTTGGTGAGTCTGTAACTGTGGATTTTTGAGTCTTTGAGTGATCTATATTGATGTTTTTTATTTCTCTCGGTGAGTCAAAAATGGCGAGCCCCAAACTTGGTAGGTAGACCTCGTTTGTGTTCATTGGTCAAGCGGGATCCCCCACGGTTTGACCCACAGCCATGTTGCTGGTAAAAACGCGCCTCCAAAACACGTGGTTTGAGAGTAGATTGCACAATCGCCAAAAAGGTGGTTTGTATGGACCCCGGTTTGTGCCATTTATTCTGAAAACACCATAAAATCGCGGTGCTCTTTCATCATTTTTCATTTGAAAGCCCACCAGTCTCGAGCGACATGCCTGGCGATTCGCCGCCGACCGGCTCGAGGATTTGCGCTTTTGGCCAGCAGAGCGAACGTGGTCATCACTGGACCTGCCATGGGGGAGTTGCCGGCGGCCTCTTCCTCTGGCTGCAGTGGTTTTCCTTCACCTTCCAGACGATCCTGTCACATTTTAGAGGCGGGAAGACCGGCGTGCGATGCTGGGGGCATCTGGGGGGTATAGATTAGTAAGTTTTCATGTGCTGCAGAGCATCATGGACCCCGGAAACCACTTGGAACGGAACCTGTCCCTCCAGAAGCCACTATAAGTCTTAATAGGTTTGGTGCCTATAATGGAATGCGAGTGGTCCTTGGCATTCCAAGAAGATGTGCCTGTTTCCTCTCAAGACGGGGTCGGATTGACTGCTAAGCCTGCGGCTCCCATAGAATAGACTTCCCATAATGATAAGGTGTTTTGTTTGGTATAGCGCTAGTTACAGTACGTGCCACGCCTGATGAACTACCAAAACAACATTGGAGCTAGTGCTGTACTCCGTGTGCCTTATACGATCAGATTGGCATTCACGTTGGGCCTGTGCAAAGCTGTAAAATACAGCATCCCCTTGGAGAAAGAGAGGGGGAGAGGGACATGTTTGTTGATGTAGCCAAGCCCACCCATTTCCATGTAACAGTGCAAGGATCCTCGTGGGTGTGTCTCACAATCCTTTGACAGAAGCACCTGCAGAACTGTCACCTACATAGGGTTTTATCTTTGAGAATTTTGTCCAGGTGAATGATGATTTGAAAAAACATACAGAAAGATCATGCCCAAACACGTCTGGTGGGACTGGCATATGTACCTACAGTGGGATTTATATTTTCGGACTTGGCATCAGCCAGTGGTTCATGCAATTCATGCTTTGTTTTTTTCTGCAGAGCCTGCCGCTGCTTTGGGATCGCTCAAGGTTGTTGTCATCGCTGCCTTGCACTCGAAAGCGGACACGACAAGTTGCGTGGATGCAGCAATCACCACGACCTTGGGACTGTTTTTTTCCCGATCAGCTGGGGTGGTGAGGTGGTGGTATCAGGATGTCAATGGTGCGCCAGTGGCAGCCCTCTTGTTTGGGAACCACCTTGTCGGCTTCAATTTGCTTGATGTTCTGAATCCGAACATATCCAAACTCCAAACCATGCAATGCACCCTTCGTTGAAGGAAAATTGTTATTACTATTGTTAGATAATCAACAGTTGATATGATGCTATGTAATGCTGATATATGTTGACGAGTGTTTCGACACCTCCATACCAGGGGCTTTCTTTAGCAAGGGTTGTTCGGGGCTGCCGAAGCTCTCATTACTTTTTTGAAAAGAGTGTTTCAGCGCGAATCACGAGCTGAGTCCCTTTATTTGGAGCAGCTTTTCCTGACGTTCGCTGCTCGAAGACGAGAAACCTCTCAGCTGCCGCGTCCCCGGGCGTCCCCCAAGAACCCCATCGCCTACGTGCTGTGCTGGCATGCGCACCTGCGCGATAGATGGACCTGATGACCTGAGTGCCGCAGCTGCACATATCTGGTTGTGGGTCAGAACCGGGCGATGGTTGAGCCTTGAAGAGGAACAGAATAGACTACTAGGAGTTCAACCTAAGTCAACCTACCCGGGATTAGGGCCTTGGGGTTTTGACCCACAGACATGTTTTTGGTGTGTCAGGCCATCCATCCTCATGCTCATGGTGGGTTGTCTCTCTTCTTTTTGGAGGACATGACATGTCACATGATGTCACAGACCAGGTTTGTTCCCTTCATTGGGTGGTCTCCTGGCCTTGGGGGCGCCCCAAATGCCTTCTCAGCAGGTACTTGGACCCTCCAACCCTCACCCTAAACACAATCGCAACGGAGGTATTTGGGTGTGCACTTGAATAGGGGGGGAGACCCCAGTAGAGACTCCATAACCAGTAGCTAGATTGGTCTATGTCCCTTCTGCCAGGGGGAGCGTTCCACCGTCGGGGAAGAACTCAGCGCTCACCGAGCGAGGCACGAGGCGCTCACCGAGCGATGTGCCGCTGTGGAGCGAGTCGCCACCATGTTTCGGTCGAGAAAAAGGGGCCGCGAACGAGTTCGCACATACAGAACATGGCACCACCCCGAACGTTCGGGTGGTTGATGGACCCTGACTATATATATATATATATATACTTAATATGACTTACTATTCTCATGTACATTCCATCCGAAATGATTGAATGGGCACTGCTGGGCTTCAACATGACTAGCTCAACAAAAATCCATCGAGTCTAGGAGAACCGTCCAGAAGTTTGGAACCTCAAGAGTTCGGGACATCGAAACCTCGATGTCTTATATTTCTTGTCAGGCACGTGAGCGGCACGTGGTGTTTTGGTCCATCAAGGCCAGTTGGATGACTTGACATTTGGCAGCTAGGAGCTACTCGAAGAGCTGCAGAAGATGTTCATGACAGCCATTGTCCTCAAGTATTGAGTGGTAGAGCATGAAGACACAGAACAGTTTCGTAGTTGTTGCATTCGGCATAATGATTGGTGTCATTACACCTGGGTATAGCATGATATGCCTGGATGGGGCATCTTGTGCATTCCACGGCCCCTTGGATTCCTGAAGCTCCACCAGATGTTTGTTTCAGATTCATGCACCTGGATGCTCCGGTGATTCTCCTTGTCTCAAAGACCTATATCGAATCATATTTGTTTGTCTATGTATCAACATTGTAACTATATAGTTGATAGAGTTGCGTAGACTCTTAGACAGAGCCGAACGAACCTTGCCATGGAGACAACTAGTCCTCTCTATTGGCTCTGTGAGAGCTTGGCCAAAGAGCGAGCAGAGCAGAATGGCGGCGCGCTGAAGGAACATTGGACTAGGTGTATAATATTTTCAACCTCTACTTGGGATTATTGAACCCACTGGCTATTGAATAGCTCACCGTTGCACAAAGCCAGACAAGTTCTTTTTGGAAGATGCAAGAATTTTCTTCACTTGCACTTTGCAGATGGGGCTGGAGTGCATCCGATTTGGACAATGCAGATGTTTTAAACATGCAACATGTTCTTTCGGAATGGCATGGATGAAGAGGTCTTTCGCTTGTTGGATCACAAGTGCCCGAATCTCATGGAGGAGAGCCTCATACTCACGGCATCGCAGAAAGGCGTCATCGCCGCCCTTCAAGTCGACACGAGCAGTTGATGGAGAAGTGCCGCCGATTCCCGCCGATTTGGAGACCGTTGATGGAGAACTGGTAGAGTTGCGTGTTGGGATCGTGCAAGTTCTGATGTACATATGATGTGAGACCTGGTTGGGCCTCGTGAGTCAGCGTAAAAAAGCACGGAATGTATCAGAATGTGTGTTAAAGTGTATAAATATCTAGTCCAACTTTTAATCCATTTTGTGGTGGCCAGTGGTGGTCGGAGGCAAATCGGATCATTCACCAGCTCAGTCTAGGGGGACATTCCCCCTTGTTGAGGAGTCCTGAACCGATTGGAAGCTCGAATTTGAGGCGCGGAACAAGGCGAAGGTGAAGCTCATGGGTGTCGAGCACTTCGAGCATTACTATGTGTGCAAGCGCTCAGATGGGCCAGGGCTGATAGTGTTGATCCTTTTGAGGGGATAGTGTTGGGACACTAGGGGGTTTATCCAATTGGATCCAATTGGCGGCATCCTTTTCCAGCTTTGCATCGATTCGCATCCTTTGCGACGCATGCATTCGCTGATGGAGTTCTTCGGCCAATCTGAGCCCTACAAACTGAACTGAACCCAGTGCCAGGAAGGTTTGATGTTTAACTTTGGGCGTGAGCTGGGGGACACTGACTCCAGATCAAAAACTTGCCACAGATGTGTTCAACCATTGTTCATCATTTTTTGATTTGCATGTGCCGCTTGAATCCACCATGAAACTGTTTTCTGTTTCTCAAGATGCGTGGGGTGGGAGACCACATTTGATTTAATTGGTGCAATCCAAATTTCAAGAGCATTCAACTTGAGGGTTTTTAAAATGCATTTTAGATATTTTAGGGCAACACACGGTGAAGATTTCCTTCAGCTGAATGACTTTTGTGAACCCCCTCCCACCACCTGCTGAGCCGGCGCACAGTGGGACCTGGGACTCTTGAGGAATGCGGTTCAGCGGGCAGCAGAGGAGCTGCTCAAGCAGAGGGTCAGAGAGGTGAGTGAAGACGGGAGACAAGGACGTGATGGAACTTGGAGGGAAGAAGGACTAAGAGCAACCCTCTTGGGTGCAGCTGTTGGATATATCGGCAACTAATTAGATGTCATAGTTGCAATGAGAAGCGTTGCTTCTTTGGCCGGTTCCAGGAACTTGGCATGTGTTTTTTGTTTTTTTGGTTCAGCCTTCATTCTTCAGGCGGTGCAGGAGGAAGAAAAGACTTCTACTGGGCCTCGGATCATCAAGCGTTCCTCGTTTCCTTCGCTTACTGCCGCCCCGGTGAGAACACCCTTCCTTTGACACGTGTGGTCTTCGCGGAAGCGGAGCAAACACGGCGACCGGCGACCGTTTCGAGGACGAGAGGTCGGTTGTTGGCGGAAAGGGACCGGTGTAGACCGGAGACTGTTTGAAACT